TAAACGGACGGCTTAGGCAGAGCCTTGGCCGCCTAGTTTTGGCCAGAGCAGTCAGTCTAGGCGGCCCCGCCTAAACTTTTAAAACAGAATAAATAAATAAATAAATAAAATAAAACAATTCACCTGGCTCAAACCCGAACACATCTCAAACCCGAACATATATCTCAAACCCGAACCCATAACCCATAACCCAAACCTAACCCTATCTCTCTCCCTGTCACCCTTTCTCCCACTCTAGAGACGTAACCAAAGCCGCCACCTCCTCTCCCGCCGCAAGCCACCTCCTCTCCAGCCACTCCTCTGTCGCCACCTCCTCTTCATTCTCTTCGCTGTCGCCTCTTCTTTGCCACTGCCACCTCTTCATCAGCTCTTCTTATTCATCGCCGCCTTCTCCTTAAGCTGATCCCGAGTCGCCACCTCTTCATTCTCTTCGCTGCCGCCTCTTCTTTGTCGCTGCCCTCTTCATCAGGCTCTTCTTATTCACGCCGCCTTCTCTCTGAGCTTGATCCCGAGTCGCTAATGCCTGCTCCTCCCTAGTCCGAGTCTCCCGACAAAGTCGGCCTGCCTCTCGCGCCCCGACGACGAGCTCTCCTCTTCCTGTTCATTGCTAGCCCGTCTCTTCCCTTTTTAAGCTAAAATTTTCATCTTCTTTTCACTGCTATAAAAATTCAGGATAAATAAGGGAAGATGATAAGAGGAGCAACATATTAAGGGTGAATGAAACAAACTAGATCTGTTTTCTTTACACGAGGTCTCTGTTTGCTATGGTCCCCATTTGAATGTGGCTTTTGTTGCCATGTAAAGCTCAAACAACGTAGTCTACATATACTAAATAAACATAAGAGGTGCAAACAAATGAATGCATACATATCTAATCCTACTGCTTTCATTAGAGAATGAAATGATTCCTTGTAGGCAGCATAGATATCTACTATTTTGGGTATTTAGTATTTATGCATGGTTGATTATGGATCTAAACTTGTTATTTATTTTTTTTTGTAATTTTATATGAACTTAATACATATTTTTATGAATTATTATACTTAAATAAATTAAAAATAGGCAAAAGCCTAGGGGTAAGTGCTAGGTCCCGGCTCGAATTAGTCTGCCTAGCGCCTTCTGTAACATTGAGAGAGAGGGCGAGTGTTCATAGAGGACAAAAAACATAACCAAAATAATTGAGATACGTAAAGATAAAGTAATCAAGATATATATAATAGATAAATTCTAAAAATAATATAATCTAGACTGTAGATAACTCCTATAACATGAACTCTGATTAGGATAGAGAACAACTTCAATTTAAATAAGATTTGAATGTAACATCTAAAAGAATCAATGGAAATACTAACTATGTAAAGTTTTTCAAACTCACACTTTTAAGAGAGGATATATATGACTTTTTATTTTTTTGGAAAAAAGTATTTAAAAAACAAATTTTTTTGGATCACCTAGGCATTTCTCTAATAACTGTTTGTTAACAATTTGCAATTTGATTCTATTTCGCCCAGCCTTCTCATCTCATCATTCTTATTTTCCCCTAATCCTAGTTTCTCTCTCCTGCCATAATTAGAGATGTCACGGCGAGCTGAGAAGCTGAGATGCACGAAAGAACCCTACATAGAGGACGTGGGCCCTCGAAGAATGTAATTAGGAATTCAAGCTCTTTTCATTTTTACCCTTTATCTTTTCGATTGATTGGAGATGATTTCATTTTTTGTTCTTTTTTTTGACAGAAAAAGTATATGCTTCGATGCGTTTTCGGGAGACGAAGTAAAGAAAGCAGCAGAGGTGCAGGTTTGGAGTGATAGGCTCTATGATTTAAGTGCTAAGCCTGTTGAGAATGGTTTGGTCGATCCCAGAATGGTATTTCCTTTTTTAATTTTATCGTTATTGCTACTTTCATCTTTTATTTAAAGGGATGTATATGGAATTTTCTCCTTTACAAACAAGATAAACAATCCATTTCTGAATTACTTTCATGTTTGGATGCGGCATAGAATCTAAGTAGTGCAGGGTCGCGTATATAAATTGACAAGAAAAGCTCATGATTATGATTTAACCTCAATTTTGGGAGGAAACTTGTTGATGAGAAAGATTATCATTTTTTAGGTTGTGAACGAACCCCTTGTTGTATCACCCAATTGTGAATAGTTCTATATGTGCGTATAGAATATAGATCTCTGTACTATTGGCCCAAGTGCGAAAACACCCTCTTAGTGAACTATTCCGACTCTTTTTTTTTAAAGTGAATTAGCAATTTGGGGTCTATCCTCACCAAAAGAACTATAGGGGTTCTATTTGCCTCCTCAAAACATTGTAACAATACAATTTTAAGAGTAAAACAAATTTCACTTATGGATCTGTTCACTCAAATAGAACTATAGGGGGTCTATTCTCAATTAGGTGATACTACAGGTGGTCTATCCGCAATCAACCCTTTTTTCTCTATATTACTTCCCAAACTAAGCCATATAAAGATGCGTGCCTTTATTATTTGACGATCAACCTCGGTAAGCTACTAAATAAGGGTGAAAAATTGCAAAATGCACTATTGTCATGCAGATTTCTCCTTCGCTTAAATTTGACTAATTTTCTTTCAAATCTGTACTTGATTAACTTACATGACTCGTGCAACCTGAAACCAGAAAACTTTGCTGGCTTATCAAACAGCTGAACAGTGAGAAACAACTTGATTGGAACAGCTTGCTCTTTATGTCTGATAGATGTCCTAAAGACAAAAGTACAGATGCCCTAATTCTCCTACACTGAAAAACATCTCACAGAAAGAAAGATTGCCATCAAGGTAAATTTGGCCTAGGGATGGTAGAGGCAGATAAACCTGTTATCTGCAGCATGTGCTTCTTTGAAACTTGACCTTTTTCATGCAAATTGTTCTCTGTAAGCTATTAAAAGTCATACCAGCAATAAAGATTGATAGGTCTGTGTCTTAGTTAATCTTTAATTCGTTTTAGGTTTTAGCTAGTTTAAAGCTCTATGGCCTTTCTGCATTGCTACTTTTTATCCCCATGTTTTTTTGTAACATTGCATTTAGCGTCCTGGGATCAGTTATTACATATGTGAATTGGCTTTGACATTATATTCTTACTTTTTTTGCAGGGACCTCCTAATAAAAAAGTTGTATGTGCTACATGCAATGGGGGTTTTGCTGATTGCCCTGGTCATTTTGGATACTTGAAGCTCACACTCCCAGTCTTTAATGTTGGCTATTTTAATTCCATCCTAAACATTTTAAAGTGTATCTGCAAGGTTATTTTCTTTCAGAACAATTTGTTCCATTTTATGTAGTAATTAATAATTATTATGTCTATTAAATGATATTTTAGTAGCTTAAGTAGTTGGTTGTTTATTTTGTGTACCTTTTCACTTATTTTTTTCTTCCAGGGCTGCGGCAGAATACTTCTTGAAGATGCAGAACGTAGGGAATTTTTGATGAAAGTGAGAAATCCTAAAGCAGATGTGCATCAGAAGAATATGATAATGAAGAAAGTCAGAGACAAGTGCAAATCAACTCTTCAATCGCCCCGTTCTTGTGCTAGCTGTGGTCATAAAAATGGTCAGTGTATTCGATTCTTTTCATTTCATAATGCTATCATCAGATCCATTTTTTGTTTTCTATTTATTCTGTTTCAGTTACTCATTTCTCGCTGAAACTATAGTGTAATTCACTTGAAATCTAATTTGATTAGGGACTATCACCTTCCATAGTTAATTTCTGATATTTGTGAGAGCAATCCTGAGATGCATCCGTCTTTAGAAATCCAAATATTATAATGCTTCTATAATAAAAACCCCAACAAGAAGAATAATATGTAAATTTGTTGTATGTACAACTAAAGTGCCTTCTGACATGCACTTAAACAATTTATAGTAAATTTGTCACCGTCATATTTACACAAGGTAAACAAATGATTTATGATTTGTATGACTATCTAAGGTAGTAGTCTTATGGAATTAAGTTACCGTTAAGGGAAAGAGATTGACGCCTGAATGAACTGCTTGACTTTAGTCACACACAAAATAAATAAATAAATAAATAAAATAAAAAACTCTTTCTGTCGCATTGTTAATTGGTAGAAGGAAAAAAAGAAGATATTCAGAGTTTTAAACTGTAAATAATCCAATTTATCTTTTGTTGACCTGTAGTCCATAGGTTCTGCTGGTCATCTTTATTGCTTTCCACTTCCAGGATTAAGGAACAGACGAGTCTTGACCACTTCACAGTGCCTCCCTGTCTTTTTACTTGGTGATTGGTAACTTTTCGCAGGATACATTGCAAATTGTTGAATGCTGTGTATTCCTATCTGTTGCACATTTACTTCTACTTCCTTACCTGCACTTGCATTACATCTTTGTGGAGGTCTTTTTGTTGATCATACGCCCCCAGTCCATAAGGACGATGGTTCACAAGGAAAACTACTTGAATATAGTTTTTATTAGGATCTAAAATGAGGGTTTTGGTACTAAAGTATTTGAATACACACACACTGGCATGCAAGTGAAAGATGGGCGACCTACCCAGCCAATGGGATTAGCTTCAGTCTTCCATCATATCATTTTGGTAGCTTTGGTAGATTATGCTTATACTTTGATAACTGTTCATGGCCCTAATTAAACCGGGACATCTAATTTAATGAGTTCTGTTTCAGATTACTGTTGAAAATTTAATTTGACGGAACCTCTTGTTTCTATGTACCTTATAAAATATAAGCAATATATTGGACAGTTCAGAGTGTACTATTTTGTCAAACACAATTTTGTACTATGCATGTGCCATGTCCTTACAACAATATGGTTATAGTTATCATAGAAAATAGATTAGAGAATTATATATGTAGGGTCAACTAATGATTGGGTAGGAAAAGATTTGATTAGACTTATTGGTCATTATTTGATTGAAGTAGATTGATTGCACTAGGAAATTTAAAATATTGAAAGCTTGAAAACATACTTAGTGCGCAAGATGCTCCTTTTAGGCACAAAAAGGACGGGTGGCGAATAATTATATATTTTATTTTAGTACTGCTACATATAAATAACATGTCACGCCCTGTGATCCATATTTACAAAGCATGCGACAGGATGACGAGACATGCTACGTCCAAACCATTTATTTCCAAGCCATTTTATAAATTCCAGATTTACATACATTTCCACACATCACTGTAGATATAATATACATCAATGAAAGATGAAATGTCAAATACACAGATGATGTATGTAAATGTCTCAATAAGTAAACTGGCTACATAGCCTGAGAAGTAAAATAAAACAACTAACAATGTTTGTCCATAGCTACTACACAAATCCAAGCTATGTCTACTGACCTACAACCTGATTAAAGTACCCCTATCCGGAGCTACTAAACAATTTGATAGCTTTATAGCCTGTCTACACTAGGTCCTCAGATGGACAGCAGGGTTCTATAAAGTCTCAAAGGAAAAGGAAAGTATATATGCATGCAACATATGTACTTATAAATGACACTCAATCGGTATGAAATATAATAGATTGGCAAATCTCTTTGATGTAAGAAAACAGTAATGAAATTCATGATATGCAAATCAATAATAGTCATCAACAACAACAAAATAAGTCCTACTAATATGCAATGTAAACTGATGTCAACCTATGTCATTTATGTGATCTTTTTTGGAATGCAATATTTAGGCATGTTGTGTTTAGAGGGGGGAGGGGGGAGAGAGCAAATCAATCACCGGCTGCACTATGACAACTTGACGTATGTCTCACACTCGTGGGTACCCTATTATGTCCCCTCTTTGCCAATAAAATATTCGCTACTTATTCCCCCATTAACCCATCATTTTCCTTTTTATTATTAGAGACTATAGAACATATTATTCAGCACAAAGAGTGCTCACTGTCACTTGACAGCCGCTATGAAACCCTAATACTTGCGATTCTGTAGATGAGTATGAATCCTGCATTCAACTATTGGGTGTACAACTATACTCATCGTCCATGAATCACACATTGGCTTATGATGTCGATGCCGAAAAGTACACTGTACGACCTATTTAGCCATGCCTATTTCATTATACTTCACTTCATCTAAGAGTTCATCAAAAACTTTATCATATCAAATGACATGTTTGACATCGCAGTGCTTGTACTTACCCATCTACAGTCGTTCTTAGTCCCGAACATGTCGCTAAGCTATTTTCTCCGCATTAGTTCCGAACATGTCGCTAAGCTATTTCCTCCGCATAAACTTTCATAATCACATGTCATGTCGGTGTGTCCCTAACATGTTTCTATACATTTCTGGGATCTATAAAATGCATCTCACATCGTAAAACAATAAGACTACTTATGAAAATGTATACGTTGTATATGGCTCAGTTGAACCGCCATGACCCTTCAATCTGTACATTCTAGGGCACCCTTCAGCGGTGCATTGGCTGACAGTTCTCAGTCGCTCGTCATTGCCTCATCACCCTATCGTTCCTTTTTCTCATTGGTTTTCATTATTCAAGTATATTTTCATATTTCAAATATAATAAAATATGTTTTGTTCATGCTATTGAAAAAAGCGGCAAAAAGCGGAGGTATAAAGCTGAAGCGGCCATGGGCCGCTTCGCTTTGCCTGAAAGCAGGGGTTATTGAACGGCTTTTGCTCGCAAAGGAGCGGAAAAGCGGAGAAAAGCATTTAATAGGCTTTAAAATGATTAATTAAAATGCAAATGATAATTAACAAGTCTTAATTTTTGCACTTGATTTGACCCATATTTGCTTTCAACGCATGAAACCTCTCGTATTCCACTATCTTTCCTTCTCTTTCTTTTTTCAAACTTGAGAAAAACCTTGAGATATCCTCCGCCTGTCAATTCTGCCTTCAAGAGCTTCTTCCAACTCCACCACTGCCTCCAGCACCTTCCGCCGCATCTAATTCTCCATCGCCTCCCTTAAGCTCCTCTTACTATCGCCAACAAGTTCCAACAAGATTCTTATTGAAGCTTCAGTCCATTGCTCCCTCTCCTCCCCCTCCAACAAAACACCAGTACTTAATTAATGTTGTGTGATTGTTACACATTTATTTCATGATTAGTATCTCTATAAATTATTATTATGCATTTGTAGAAAATTTTAAATTCTCAAAAAATTTTCTTTTTTTGAACACTTTTTCGTATTAAACTAAATCGCTTTTTTACTTGACTCTTTTTTCCGGGTTGATCCTTTTAGCACAAAAAGCCTGTACGGTGCCTCACCGCTTTGCTCAGCTTTCTGTTTTCCACAACCTTGCTCATTCATGAAAATAAGTCGAAAACAAAACCCTAATTTGTTGTGTGGTAAAAATATCAACTATTTCAATATAAGCAACTTTCAAGAATCAGCAATTATTTGATTTATCAAAATAAGACATTTATCATGAAAATAAACTATAAATCTATAGGAAACCATCAAATCTCATACACGATATAATTTGAAGTAATACTTTGAAAAGAAATTGAAAGAATATGGATTGAACTAATGAGAAGATGAGAACCTTGTCCGGTTTAATGAAAACTCTTGAAATTTGCAGCTAAAATGTCCTAAGCCTAGGCTCATCCTCCCAAAGCCTTAGATCTGAAAATTCTATATAGAACCCTATTCTACCGAATTTAGGTGTTTAAATATGTTGACAACAAGGTAAAGTTTGGGTTGGTTGCTGATGGACCTACTAAATGGGCTAAAATTTGATTGTTTAAGTTTATTCTCAAAAAAATTCTCGCTAACTAAAGAAAGTCTAACAAATAGCTTTTTCTTTGTTGACCGGCTCTAATTCCAATGTTTATTTCCTCTAAAAATTCCCCACAGTTCATATAAATCTCGATTAGTTTATAGAAAATAGAAAAATCTTTGTAATTAGTATAAAATCTTGATTAGTTTATAGAAAATAGAAATTTAAATAATATTTAAGATGTAGCATGAAAGATCGTAGTTTTTGTTGCTTACTCATACGATTGACGTTTCAATTACAGGTGTTTTAGCAAAGGGGAAATCTTTTCAACTATCTATTATTGAAAAGCTTGAAGTTGTTGATAAAAGTCTAGAAGCGGCATTATCTCACTTGAAGGAAAAACCATCTTATCAACACTTACATTTTCTTACACCTTTTGATGTTTTTTGTCTTTTCAAAAAGATGCCTGATGAGGTACATACTCTTGTTGATGGGAACAGGATGGAGGCTTGTGGATTCTTTTTCATTAAAATGTCTGCTAGCTTAAGTTGTTTTAACTATGGTTTGCTCTTTTGCTACAGGATTGTGAACTACTTAACCTTTGTGTTCGACCTGAGAATCTCATTGTGACAGAGGTTGCAATACCCCCAGCACCTATTCGCCCATCTGTCATTGTTAATTCAGGACAAAGGTAGCGATTACATGCATTGTTCTAAATATTGGATATCACATAAATATCACACGATCAAAATCCATGTTGAATTACATAAATTGGGGACATATTGGGACATGCAGTAAATATTAGGGTGTTATATTATATGATGTTCATGCACAATATAAGTATAACATTCTAATATGTAATTCAACCATATTAATGGTTTCTAAATATAAGAAATTGTATCATAATATATCTTTAGAATGACTAATAGGCTGTAGGAACTTTCTTCATAATTGTAGCATGAAACCTTCAAAATGCATAGCCAATGTTACATTAAACGCTGGGCGCTTCTAGACGTCGGACTTGGCACCCAGCACTTAGTCGCCTAGTCAGGCGCCTAAGCGGTTTCTGGGCGTTTTTTTTCTTTTTTATTTTTTTAATTGTGATACTTGAAGATAAATATATATATACTCAATCAAAGATACATAAATACTAAAATACCAACACTATTAAGTATTAACTAAATTGCTTGGTTTACCAATTATAATAGCTCTTTGTATGTTTATACTTCTCAACTCAAATTATATGTTCATCTCAACAATAAAAAACTCATTCTCAACTCAAATTACTGCTAACTTATAAGTTACTGTTAAGTTTAAGTTAACAATAAACTTAAACTTAAATTTACCATCAACAAAAAACTTAATATTAACTTAAACTTAAACTTAAACTTAAGTTTACTGTTATCTTAAACTTAAGTTTAACTTAAACTTAAGTTTACTGTTAACTTACACTTCTTAAGTTTAAGTTACTGTTAACTAATTTAAATAGATATTTAAGAAGTATTTTTTACCTTGTTAGTAGTTACAGAGATCGGGGGAGCTCGACAATGTTACAGAAGACGCTAGACAGACTAGGCGTTTGAGCGAGCGCCTAGCGTCTAGACCCCTGGGCGTGCGCCTAGGTGTTTGACTATTTTTAAATTATTTAATTATAATAATTGATAAAAATATGTATTAAATTCATATAAATTTTTAAAAAAAGATAGCAATCTTAGTTCCACAATAAATCATGCGTACTTAGATACTAAATAGCCAAAATAATAATTAACAATGCTAGAGCCTAAGATGTTTATTTATTTATTTTTAATTACAATAATTGATAGTGAATGTCAATGTTATAAAAAGCTTAGATGTCGGACTGGTATCTAGGCAGATTTCTTTCTTCATTTAAGTGGTGGTCGATGAGGTTTTGCTGAAGGTCGGAGGAGATAGTGGAGGTGTTCATATTTGGAGGTTAATGGAGTTTGGAGGACGTGTAGGCTACAACACATAAAATCACAACCAAGACCTACAGGATGCAATCCACGTAAGCAGACAATGCTCCCCTAAACGCTCGTAAAATTTATATGGACAGCCTAAATATCGCCTAGGCCCTAGGTGCTAGTTAGGCGGTCTATGTACCGCCTAGGTCTAGACGCACGTCTAAGCGGACTAGGCGGAGGTTTTTTAAAACAGTGTGCATAGCACGAAAGAGACGTAGAGAGATTAGAGAGGTAGAGATAGAGAAAGGGGTGAAGAGGGAGAAAGGGCAGGGAGAAACTGAGAGAGGTAGAGAGTGAGGGCTAGAGAGGGCACAGAGGGGGGAGGGAGGCAAGACAGATCAAAAAGAGAGGGTGGAAAGAAAGAGGGGGCTTATCGGTGGGGAGCGAGAGAGAGGAGCTAGAAAGGAGTGAGAGAGCGTCGAAATTATACGGGTTAGGATTTTTTTTGGGATCCATGTCAAGGTTTTAAACATCGGTTATCGGGAATTTACCGCACGATCAAAATCCTTATCGAATAGCGAAAATTGGGGATATATCGGGGATAAGTAGTATTTATCGGAGTGATATATTGGATGGTGTATATATATAACATAATAACCAAAAAATATAATTTAACCATACTTAATGAAATATAAACGTCAGCAGAGTTGAGCTTCGAGGTCAGGGAGGCGAGCGACGTCGATAGAGGTGAGCATTAAGGTCGGGGAGGCAAGCAATGTCAGCGGACATGAGCTTCGAGTTCGGGGAGGCGAGCGACGAGGTCAACGGAGTTAGAGGAGAACATAGATCTTGAGCTTGATGGAGTTCGAAAAGACTCGGAGGCTCAGAGAACAGCCACACAAAGAGGGAGAGATTCACGAAGGATTAGGGCTGAACTTGAAGTTAAAAACTTTATTTTATTATCAAAAGCGGGTCGGGTCGGGTTTAATAACTCACTAAGTAACAGCCCATTACCCAACAATTCAACTCAAAACTCACACCGATAAATCCAATATTTTCAACTTCCCTTATTGACCAATAAGTGCCTTTATCGCCGATAACTCGCCGATAAACCCATAAAAGCGACAACCGATTAAAAATCCTACTTATCCTAGCAGAAAGCTCCCAAATCCGATAACTCCGTGATAATATCGGATTATCGGCCGATATTTAAAACCATGATCCATGGTGATTTTTGAAGCAAAGGGAGGATTTTATTTAGTATTTAGACTAGGTTAGAAATCCAAAGCCAAACCCATACCTAGAGAAAACCTTAAAATAAATCAAATATCAATCGATATTGTGGATATTAGGATATATCAGTATATGAGATATTGGTCGATATATTGGATTTTTTTTTTAAAATCAAAACACACTAAACTTGTACTAAACTTGTAAATATTGCTGCGGCGGACTATTGTAGAACTTGATATATCGATGTATTGGCTGTCATACATTGATTACATGCATACAAATATGTTGCATGTACCTATGTCCACACAACACGATGCACATATAAACTTACACGCTTGTAAGTACTCACAAGACAAATACACAACACAAACATGCATACCTACATGCACATTAATGGGTACACATAACACAAACAACACACAATACATAATACAGACATACAAAGATAGGCAACGTATTATTTGAAGCTTGCAATAAATTTGACTTTGCAATGTATGCCGTTTTCTTGTACCTTTTCCACCATTTGTATTATTATTACTCACACCTAATTTTAGAAGTTCATCGAACATATAAATAATATTCAATATACCACAATATGAACAAAATCACAAGATATTTGTGAATTATAACTAATTTTTTTTGTCACAAACAATTGATAACGAGCGAAATGAGTTATTAAGTGCAAGTCCCAAAATTGAGTTTCTACTTGACCTTAAATTCTTCCGAATGTATCTTAGTTTAACACAGGGGCACTGATACTGGACAAAATCTATAGGGTTTGCTAAACAGATAATTTAAAGAACTCAATATCATGTGAATGCAAAAATATCACTAAAGAGTAGCACAAATTAAATCATAGATATTAAAATTATAAATCAATAGCAAAATAGCTGAAATGCATACAAGAATTGTAACTATGTAAAGATAAGTTTGAATAAAACTAAACAAGTGAAGGAGTCCTTTACAACCCATGAAAGAGTAAAAGAGCGATGACTTCTTGAATTAAATATCTATGAATTAAACTAAATAAAAGATCTCTGAGGTCTGAATCTTTTCTAAGCACAAGTCTTATATTTGTAACCTTGATTGAGCAATGTTGGGTTGATAATGAAGTCAACTCGGCTCTGTTTGAAAGGGGATCTGAAGGTGTCAAATGTGAAACTGATATCAACGTATTTGGGAATTAGAGGTCGGATTCACGAGTTTTCATTGACGTGACAGAGAATCATAAAAGGTGCTGAATGTTGAGATTGTTTGAAGGTTTCTGTAAAATTAGATGTACAAATCAGATTAATTCTTGGAGAAATAAATCAAAGAGCTAAAAAAGGCCGGTTTCACACAGTGATGCCTAATCAAAACTCGATGGCCTTCACGCTTTGGAGGAAACACTCCGCAAACACTCTCAACCTCACTTTCTTTTTTCAATCACATCTCATAAACTCTCTCAATTATAATGAATAGTGTAATCCATATCTATAGGGTTTAAACTCCTATCTCCACTAAGCTTTAACAAAAATAAACTTGTAATCCTACTAGTAAAATAAAGAACAAATTCTTATCCAAATAGAATTATGTCCATATTCTAAAAACTAATATAAAAATTTAAATCTAACTAATCTTAATTTTGATCCCCATATCCCATTCTATCTATTCATATGTACACACATATCTTTCTATGTGTGCGTGCATGTGTGTGATTGTATGTATGTGCATGTTTGGCCATTTGGCCTCTTTAGTAAGGATTTCGAAACAATCTCCTCTTTTAAATTTGATAGTAGGCACACCAAGTTGAAAATAAATTTCATTCAAGTTAATCTACATCTCCAGAATGCCTGAAACCCATAATTGCAAGTTGCATAGTTTAAGTTTCTACAGTATGCAGGACCTCCCTGAAATTGACCAATATAGGCTTTTGACTATTCATACTATATTAAATAGCTGAATTGATAATGTTATGCCTTAAAAACTGTATATCTAAGCAACATATACTTTGGTATTTTGTTTTATGCCTAGCTAGCTTTAAAACACTTTGTTTTTGATTATTAATCACTTTGAATAATGCAATTAAGTTTATGAATATCTCATTTTGAGTGAAGTCACATTGCAGATCGATGAGAGGGATTAGATTTCAAGTTATTTTGGATGTAGCTTACTATAGCTCCAGTTGTGAAGCTATTTAGATGTTGAAGGGGATATGACTCCTTGACAAATGAAAAGAATGTATACAGTAAAGTTTGAGAGTAATTGATATTTAATAATTATAGGATCTAAAAATGTAAGACATCTGTCTTTAGACTTCCTCGAGAGTTCTCCTTTATCGATCCCGAATATGGAAAATAATTGTGTAGCTGGTAGACCAAAGTGTAAAGTTCAAATAACTACAAAATTTCATGAGTATTAAGTTGAATTATTCATTACGTCCATTGATTGTTATCTCAAGAATTGAATAACTATTTTGATAATTGTAATATAAAGTTTCTTTCTTGCATGATATGTCTTTAACCGAGCAATTCATTCTCTTCATTTGGTTAGAGAA